ACTGAGCCAACTCAGGGAGGCAGTGAAGGACAGGAAGACCTGGCACAATATGGTTCATGGGGTCACAAAGAGTCAGACACGACTTAATGACTGAACAACAACAAAACTACATTCCGTTCTCCACTGGACAGATAACCTCCAATGCTTCAATTTTAAAAAGAATTTTGAAGTATACTTCTTTTTCCTCTACTGAACATGTTCTCTACCTAGGTATTTGTGCATTCTAGAATACTGGCTTAGCATATATGCATACATTTCTATTTCATAGTATTTTCTATTTAAAGTAAGTTAAACATACTGGCCAGTAGCCCCTCTTCCGGGCTAACACAGGCATTCTCTCTGCCTAGGAGAACTTAGTATGTCCCATCATTTCTCCTCCTCTTCAGGTCTTCAGCAACTCTTCTCCAGATCTCACTCAGCTCCACTTCAGGAGAGATTAGGCTCTACTTGAACCAACAATCATTCAGCAGTGTAACAGAGCTGAGTACATCTCAAGATCACTACCCAGTACTGCTCAGTATTAAAACCAACAATTAATCTTTAATTGTTTACCTTCATGTTAGGTTGCCAGCCATCATATCTCCTCCAAGATTTAAAATTCTCCTTCTCAATTGATTTTTTAAAAGTCTTCTTTGCCAGTCTATCAGCTGTCCTTCCCTTCTCCTATTGAAAAAAATATTTCTAAGCTATCTGTCATGCTCTCAGGCTCTACTAATCAATATCAAAAAGAACAGAAAGTTTGTTTGGGTGCTTGTGTGGATTCATGACAGACTCACAGGAAGGCATGGACTCCTGTAGGGGGGAATCCCATACACACATACTTGAACACACAAGAATCTAAAGCTATCTCCTTGTCTCCCAGGTGATCTGGACAGAGCCGAGACTGTTGAAGAAGGAACATTAAATTTTTTTTGCCTTCCCCCTCCTGACTTAAAGACATTCCTGCAGCTGCTGGAGGATTTTCTAAAGGACTTTTTTTAATAAGGCCCAGCAACATCTGTCATTTTGGCACTGACACCATGATCTCTTGGATACACAGGGAAAAGATTTTCTAGTAAAATTGGCAGGACCTGCCACAGCAGTTAATCAAAAATGTGGGGAAACAAATTAGAGGAAGGATCATGGGCACCAGGTTGCATGAAGCTTTCCAGGCTCTGGAATCCTACATGAGATTTGGAGGCTGCTGTTTGAATATCCCTGTCTCCAAAATAAACAGAACAATCCTGCTTCTACTCAAAAATAATTTCTAGTAAGTTTAGAGCTTACTTCTAGTAACTATACCTATTTACCTGGCAGTAAGCCATTAAGCACTATTAAACTAATTTTCAAATAGACAGAAGATTCCACTGAAAACCTATAAATCCTAATAAAAAAAGAATTCTATACAATTCAAAGAAACAATTATTATGAGTGATAGACAATATAATTAATATTTTGATGGTCTATAAAAGAAATCACACAATTAATTTAAAAAGGCTACCAAATATACAGTATAAAATGAAAATTTTGTAAAATCAGTTTGAGAAGAAGAAACTATACCACAGTTAAGAAATGCTATAAAATGCATCTGGGTTACATTCCTGCTAAGAATGTTTTCAACAAACAATGTAAGTTTTAGGTGACAAATAGATGTACAGAGCACCCTGCATTCAAGCAACTCTAAGTCACCAAACAAGAATGTATGACAACTCACACATCATTTATATGGCAGTTCATATGAAAAAGAATGCAAAAATTCTGACACACCTGTGGAAGCAAAGCTTTTGCAAAATAAGTTATTGAACCAGATTTCTTTTTTAAAAAGGGGGAAACAGGTCAACTTACTAAAAATAAGGACTCCATTATTATCTTAGGGCATAAAAACGCAGAAATGAAGCAGTATTAAAAGTTTGATATGTCTGACTATATGTCATAGTTTTTTATAGATGGTTTTAAGATTCTCTAGGTATTAAATTAAAGCAATAATTAAATAATGTTTATTGCTCTGAAAGCATACAATAAAAAACACACATTAAAATCTACTTTGCCATTTCTCCATATACCATGATAAACTGTCATCTTGATCCAAATGATCATCAAGCAATGACCCCATTGGAATAGTTCTATGGAGATACCACATGTGAGATTTAATAAACTATGAATGATGGTCTACCATTAGCCTGTCTTGTTTGCTTCTCTGAAATAGATACTTCTAAATCGTTTTGCAATGAAAAGACTGATCCCAAGGTACAATGTCAGGCAAATAGTAATTCAAACTATTTGGAATTCTATCAAAATCAAAGATCAGCAAGGCAAAACAACAACATTTAAATGTTAAAAGAATAAAATGTATCCACCTACCATCTTTGGTCAGTAATTTCTGACAAGAATGAAATGTATTTCTGTTTTAAAAGAATCGCAGCAGCAGTTATGTATTATATAAGATTGATCTATTATGTGGCTTGTGGTTTCTCCCACAGTTCCTTATTTACTATTTTGGGGTTTAACTTCTAGTTGTAGTTACAAAGCTAAAGTGTTTGTTTTTCTTTGCTTTTTGGGGATAGATATTGTATGTCTACTCTATTAAATTTATATATTACACATTATATAAACGGGACTATCCAATTTTACACTAAGGAGCCTCACAACTTCAAGTGTCTTCCTCCTTTACCACAAGTATTGCTGAACGTACCCACTGTACATTTAATAGTTTTATTGATTCGTTTTATGCTACTTTCCTTTGAAATTACCTTTAGTGAAAGTTGAAGCTTTAAAAAAAGAAATATGTAAATTATGAAATACTCATCTAACAGAAAAGAGAACACACATGCATAAATGAAGAGGATGACAAAGAGAGGATATAGTGATGGTCCTATTCATATTTGGCTTGTGCTTTACGAATCACAGATACAGTACATAGGCCCTATTTAGTCAACCGTAACAAAAAATATTCCCTACTCAGAATGTAACTTGCTATCATCTGAATCTCAACTGATGGGAATTTTCCATTATTCAAACTCATTTTGCCAGAATAATACTTGCCACTTATTAATTCCACTAATTCTGTCCTCGGAACTTGAATAAATAAATCTAAATATTAAATAGCTAATGAGAATCTGCCAGAAAACATTTGTCTTTGGATACTTTTTAAACAATTAATATTTTTAAAACTACCAAGATAACATCACAACATTTAAACACATGTACAGTACAGGAGAGCCCACTATTTTAGGTATATTTTACCAATAGCTGTTTTAATTGTAGAGAGACTAATGCCCTTTATGTCTCAAGAACTATATTTAGGTTCATTTCAGTTGCATAATTTTCAGGGAAAGTCTTTGAAAGAACTCTGCTGATTATTAGGGGTTTTTGTTGCTGTTGTTTGTTTTGGTGCCCTCAGGTCAGTGTTGACTCCTGGCAGCTGCCTGGACAAGCCCCTGCAGTTTTCTTGGCAAGATTTTGGAAATGGTTTGCCACTGCCTGCTTCCCAGGGCTGAGAGAGAGCAACTGGCCCAAAGTCACCCAGCTGCCTTTGTGCCTAAGGCGGGACTAGAACTCATGGTCTGCCAGTTTCTAGTCTAGTGCTTTAACCTCTACATCAAACTGGCTTTCATTAAAGTAATATTTTTATTTTAATGCTAGTGATACAAATGACCAGGTTCAAATTATCCCTACTTTGGACACATTATGTAAGGACCTAGCTGTCTAGAGAAGGCTCTTATGCTGGGAAAGGTGGAAGAGGACGGTCAGCAGCAAGGTGACAGATTCAGTTACAGTGGCAATGGGTGCACCATTGGAAGACCTGATTGACCAGGTTAGGGATAGATCACCATGGACAAATCTATCTATATGGTCACTAAGAGTCAATAATGACTTGATAGTACATAATCAACAGCTAGTTTTGCTTTTTCCCACTGATACTTGAAATTCACAACATTTCGAAGAAGGATACATTCTGGATTGGTGATGAGCCAAGATAGCTGGTGTGAAATATCTGGATCTTAACTGGGCAAAGGGCTTTGGATCCAGCCTCGGCACCTTTGCTATTCCTGTTGGCAGCTCTTTAAAGGCTGCTGGCTCCAGCAGATACAGGGAGTGTGTCTATGCCTGATCCAAAGCATGTTTGTATTAAAACATATTGCTACACTACATCATTATGCATTACAATCAATGCTTATGTGTTATTTCCTAATAAGGTCCTTGGATTTTAAAGTGCTGGACCAAAAACAACTGCATCGTGACAGAAACTATAACTTACCAGTTTGCTATTTTGAATGACAGGCATATACAGTGGGGCAAAAAAGTATTTAGTCAGCCACCAATTGTGCAGGTTCTCCCACTTA